TTATAACACTAAAATACATAATAATTTTTACAGATATGAAAGTGATAATGCAATTTTATAAATCTGCATATATGTATGTTATGTTTTGTTTTGTTTCATTTTGTTCTGTTTAACAGTTCCTGGTTCATAACTCCTCTACGAAGGTAGGTCATAGAAATTCATCTCTTCTTCCTTCATGTCTTGGAGCCCACCAATGATGAAATATTCTCATCTACACTTGCTCAATAGTGGGCCATAAGACCTGCTCATTCCAGAGGGGTCCTGTACCAGACCTTGCAGGAAGGAATGTTGCACAGAGAGGACAAAAAGAATCCAAATAGACAAGGCTTTCTGGGTTTCTCAACACAGCCTATTAGTAATCACACCTATGCAATGAACTTTCGATAAAAACTCAAAAGGACAGGGTTTAGGACAGCTAAATACCTGGAGGTTCCTGAAGGTGGGGGTGCTCAGAGGGCATGGAAGCACCATGCCCTTCCTCCCGTGCCTCAACCTATGCAGCTCTTTATCTGTGTTCATTGTAATACCCTCTATAAGAAACTGGTGAATGTAAGTACTTCTGAGCTCTGTGAGCTGACTTAGCAAATCAGTAAAACCCGAAAGGGAGTGTGGGAACCTTGGTTTTTAGCCAGTGAGTGAGAAGGGAAAACAACCAGGGTTTGTGACTGGCATCTAAGATGAGGAGTGGGGTCAGTCTTAGGGGCTGAGACCTCAACCTTCAGGACCTGACAAGATCCCCACCAGGTACATGGTGTCAGAACTGAATTTGAGGACAACGCCCAGCTGCAGAATTGCCTGCTTGCTGGTGGGGAGAAATTCCTTCACCTTGAAGGGTCACTGGAGCCTTCTGTGTTGGTTGTGGAGTGAAAGCAGGAAAAACATGTGCATTTTTGTTTTCTGGATGTTAAAAATAATAATGTCACTTTATAATTTTTACACATATAAAATACTTTGAAATATATATTAACTGATTTTTATATACATTTTGGGTTTTCACATTGTTATCAAGGATAGGGAGATCGACAGGAAACTAATGTTTCTGAATACCTAAATCACCAGCATTTTGTTGGATGCTTCCATAAACATCTCATTCAAGAGTACTAAAGGAAGCTACACACCGTTTTTCAGCTATCAACCACAGCAACTGAGTATCAGCACATAAAAACATCACAGAAACTAGCCTAAGTTAAAATCTCTAGCACAAAAGGGTAAAAGAAAGGAAAAAGAGAGAAGAAAGAATGCAGAACTGTATCAACATTTTAAAAACTGATCTGAAAACAACAATATGCAGTATAAAAACCAATGCTGAACTCCTACCATTTGTATGGTGAAGCTCTGCATCATTTCCAATTTTTTTTTTTTTATTATTATTACTTGTTACTGTCTTTGATTGTTTGATCAATCTTACATTCTTAAGTCTGGTGGACTAAGCAACTTTGGTGAAGATAACAGTATGTAACGTAGCAACCACTGTTAATCCTTATCATTTTGTTTTGAGGTCATGTATTGCTTTTGTTGCTTTAGTGTTGTTTTGATTTGTCTTCATGGTTGTTTTGTTGGTTTTTTAAATTTTTAAAATAAAAAAAAAACAAGTGCCACATGAGTGACCCACAGATAGGCTGTCCACTTCAACTGGAATTTCATATTTACTGAAGGGCATTTATGAACAGAGGGCTCCTAAGAACTGTAAGGCACCTAGAACAAAGACACAGGAGTGGCAGCTACTCAATAAAATAATTTTAGTTTTGTTGAGATGGTACCTTTATGTTCATTTATGAACCTAGTAAAAATAGGCCAATAAGTAGAATGTCACCACTTTGTAAAAGTTTTGAAGTCTTGTCCAATCTTAGTGTCCTCTGAAGTCCTCCATAACTTACTGTCTAGCCTAACTAGTATTTAGCATAAACCATGAGTTTACATTACTGATCATCCTTCTATGTTTATGGGCTAGCACTCAGATAAATGGCTTCTATCTTCTGAACCTTAAAACTATCTAACATAATTTAATAACCATTATAAATCTGAGGTTTCATCAGTTTATGTCTTACCAAATGTTATAGCTTATATCTAGATATCTCCTCAAAGCCTCATGTGCTCATAGGTGGGGTTTTTTGGAGTGGGCTGGATCAAGGGCAGTGGGAGAAAACCTGTAGCCTGCATGTTGCAGCTGGCTATTTGTTATCACTGAAATCTCTAAAATGTTCCCTATCTCTGATCTAGATGTGTGGTATTGGGATTAAGGATGTGTGGTACTGAACTAGTGCACTGATTGACTTAGCATAGTTCTGGGCATGGGTGGCATCATTCAAAAGGCTGGTAGCCTGGATGGGATAAAAGGGAAAGGGAGGCTTGCTGCTTGCAGCTCAATGTCTGCTGCTTGCCACTCCATGAACTGTTTCTTCTCTGTGATGTCATGCTGCCCTATATTGAAACCAGCTGACTATGGAATGAAATCTCTACAAACTGAGCTGAAATAAACTTTTCTTCCTTTAACTTTGGGAGTCAAGTATTTTGTCTCAGTCACAAGAAAAGCAATTAAGACATCATTTTCTGGCAAAAGTATTACAGAGTTTAAACTTTCCTGACTTTCCCTTGCTTGTCAACCATTGCTGAAACTTGGTTTGTATGAAATTCAAAGCCCTGTACTCCAGCACTACACTAGACTCTACCCTCAACTTATACTCTAGCCACCCTATTACACTGCATTTACCAAACTCACTGCATACTTTTGTCCCTCCAAATATTTTGCTAGTCTGGTTTTCTGTGCAATTCTAGATGGCATACACCTATTTATTCTGCAAAACCTACCCCATCAGCTCTTCTGTGATGCATTCCCAGAACCTATCACCAGGTGACAAATCCCTCTCTCTATTTTTCTTTCTGTCTTTCTTCTTTTTTTCTTTTGAGATAGGGTCTCACTAGGCAGTTCAGGCCGGCCTTGACTTCACTATATAGCCCATGCTGGCCCTTGAACTCATGGCAATCCTGCCTCAGCCTCTTGAGTGCAAGGATCACACGCATGTGTCACCTTAGCTGGCCCTTCTCTCCATTTGACAGCCACTCCTATTAAGGGACTTTTGTACATATTATTACATTTCTGTGTGTTCCATTATGAAACTTTCTGAGATTCCCATATGCCAAACTGACACACTGTATACATTGCCAAACTCAGAACCTGGTATGTATTCTACGCCAGCATATAACAGAAACGAGACCTGTCCATCAGTATAAATAACTCTGTTAGGCCCTGTACTCCTTAAGAATATCATCTTAGGCATTATTACTTTCCCAGACCTGAGCTCATACTTGATATACAGCAGCTGTTCAAGAAATGTCATTAAATTAATAAATAAAACACAATTGCTTTCAGGCAAATCAGGAAAAAAATATACCCAGTTTTCAGCTAAGATAGTTGCCTCCTTCCTCCTCCAGGACAAAACAGTGACAAACAAGAGCAGGTATGAGGCAGATGAGGTACACTAAAGGATCTGAGGATGGTGCTTCCAGCAAAGGCCTGTAAACACTGAGCAATCTTCTCATGTTAACTCCAGGATGCTTATTTATGTAGCAGGACCTGGTGCTTTCAAGGAACACTCTGTTAACTCCCAGTCATGAAGGCTGATATAACCACTTCCTCCTCACCTCCAGTAAGTGATAGCCATATGTTTTCACTTATGTTTCTTTAGAGGACAACTGACTGAGAAAACAGTAGCTAGATGTATTATTAAAATCAAGATATTCAGAGGATGCTGTCTCTTATTTATTTTTTAAGTTGTGAACAAAACATCATGACCCCATTTTAAACTGATGGTTCTACTATATTTGTGTTTTTGCCCACAAACTGCCTAAGTTGTTTTAGAAAGTAAGCACAATAGATTTAATATAATATTTAACAAGAAGTATATAAACTAAAATTTATGTGGCACAACATTAAAAACTGTATTCTAATTTGCCTAATGTGTATCTCAAGAAAATATGCATCTGCACCTATGTGTGCTATCACGTAATCTATCTGGGTTCACGGTTTAACTTCTACATGGCATAATTAAGAACTGCAAAATGAAGAGACTAAGATAGAAAAGTCTGTTGCAAACACAGAAACAGATATGGGAAGGATCACAGAGTACAACCAATTGAGCACGCACAGGCTGAGATGCCAGGAAATACACAGGCCACAGTGGCACGATGTAGTGCCAGAAATTATCAATGTACTCACAGAAATTAGCAAAAATAAGCAAGGATACCATTGAACTTATCATAAAAATGTTACATAAATGTAATATGAGTTTTCTATTAAAGCAACAATTTTTAACAGATTTAAATACTATTTCTACTTACTACATAGAGGTAAAAAGAAAATTTTTAATAAAATGAGCCTCAAATTATAAACATTTTGAGAATCTAACTTAAAAAACATATTACTATATTTTATCACTAACACAATCTTCATCTTGTAACAATCATATATATAAAACACCTGTGCTTACAGTTACAATTAACATGTTTAATACTGTTTATAACAGCCCTAGATTTTCATGGATTGTACCCCTGTTTTCTCATAGCAAAAACACCTATCCTCAATAGGATGTAGGGCAAATACTGGCCACTATATTAAAAATAAAATTTAGCAGTGAGTGAAAAGGTAACAAAGATTTCTATTGGCTGAAAGTCAGAAGCTTCTGAACTCCATCCTGTAATGTAAGTAATAATTTGAGTAATGAATGTAAGAATACAAAGATACTCAGAGAATGCTATCTCTTATTTATTTTTTAAGTTGTGAACAAAATATCATGACCCCATTTCAAATAGATGGTTCTGTTATATCTGTGTTTTTGCCCACAAACTGTCTAAGTTGTTTTAGAAAGTAAGCAGATATTCATTAACTAATTAATAACTGGTTTTCTAATTAAGACTATTTTTTAAAATGTATTTTAACTTAAAAAAAGTTATTCCTATTGAAAATTGTTTATTATTTTGCATGCTCTTAAAGGATTCTTTACCTGCAGATAGCTGGAAAACATTCTTGAAGACCTTTCTTTTTAACTAAAGATCCTTCAAGGCAGTACATAATGATGTCCATGACCTTTGAAAGAAAAGAACCTCAAGTTAATTTCTAATGCTTTATTTTCTAAAATTTAAGTTACTATATTAGGCCTTGTTTGCCCATGAAAATTCTACACAATTTGATTTTAGTATTTACTTACAATAAAACAAAAGCAGTTTTAAGCATCTGTATAATACATACTATTCTTTGCCTTATCTGTGAGAGAATTTAAAAACAATGCCATAAAATAATGGGAATAAAATTGTTTACTTTGAAGTCAATTCATGCTTATGTACCAAATAGCTAACTTTTATCCAAACACACTATACATCTTGTTTATTTATGATAAACCTTGTCAAGGAGAACACAATCCTTAAGAAAACTCTAATACAGACCAATTCCATGTAAATGGTGAATCAACAGTGATCATTTTGATTTTTGAGGAAATTTAACTAAGGCCTTCCTTTCCAAGTCAAACAAAAGTTAATTCACCGTGGTCCCCTCTTTTTCTCTCTGTCTCATTCACTCACCATTTTCTCCCCCATCTCTCTTTCTCACTATCTTACAGAGATACTGGAAACAAAGATGTCATGTCATATTAACACACTACAGTATTTAATTTATGGTGCTGATGTATCACTTAAAACAGGTTATTCTTACCTCTACAAGAAGATCCACAACATCTGTAGGCATCTTTTCAATAAGAATTTCAATGACTCTCAGAATTTCCCCTTTAGCTCGGGCAAGAGTTGTAGTGTGCATATTCTGCTGCGACTGGGTATTTGCTGCAAGAGCTGTGTGTCTGTGTACCTATAAAAATATTTCTATGCATTAGCTATGACTGCCACTGATACAGTTTTAAATTTCTAGCCACTGGCTTATTTTTCATTTATTAAGACAACAGGAAAAATAGCAAACCACTGAGGTACATCAGGAAATGCTTTTAATCTTAAAAAAAGTATTGAGTAAAATAAACTCAGTATATATTGTCTAACAAAATTCTATGTTCCTGAGTCCTATGAGACCCTAACACAATACTAATGTAATATTTTTAAAAAACAGACTGAAGATTTGTGAATTCAGTATATCTGGCACTAAAGTATATGTAGTAGTTAGGAGCTGTCCAGGAAGTTTAAGATATGGTCCTTGATCTCAAATAATAATGGTAAATGATACTTATATAGTACTCAGTGTGCCCCAGACACTATCCTATATGCTTTGTGATCAAGTTGGAAAGTCCAAATAAACAGGACTCCAATGGTAAATAATAGAAGTTTTGTGTGATTTATCCAATACAAATTGTAAGCTCCACGGTTCAGATGAGGCAGAATATTAACAGGCCATGGACTAGCCATGCAGGGATGGTCAGAAGGATAAGATATGGGATAGTGATAATAATAAGAAATACTTTACTTTATTACTCTGATAATCTAAGAAAACAAAGTAAAACAGAAAACTTCTTTGTGAAAGGCAGTAAGTATAGATGGCTAAAATATTTTAAAATACTTTTGGAACCAAAAGCTAGAGTATAATGAGTTCAAAGCATAAGTCTTAAAAGGTCACATAAAAATACTTAGATATAAATGTTGCAAATTAAATTTAAAAATATAAGGACCTGTTAGACTAATGTAGGGCTTATTCAGTGTAGTCAACAGTATTATCTGTGCATATTCCATGGATGAAAAAACTGATACAAATTTTCCAAAGCTAGTAAAATTACTCATTTACCTATATGAAATCTATCTATAGATATCACTTATACATATACTCTCTCTATATATTTAGTCCCATGCATATGTATGTATTTAAATATAGTAGAACCTTCCCATCACACCATGCACGGTTAGCAAAGCACACACTTCTGGTCCATAAATTTATTTTCGAAGTGAATTCAAAGTTTCACTGCTTCCTAATCACCTATACAAACTGCTATTAGGACCTCTTTCCTCCCTTCTGGCTAACTTCACATCACAAATATTTATAGCATGCTTATTAAGGATAGCTCTGGGGCAGACAGAGGCCCGATAGGTTTCAGGTTATCAGAGTAGACTCAGAGGTATTTATTTAGTATTTTAAAAATTCATCATAGCTACAGGAAAAACAACTCAGACAGAGCCCATACCCTACGGACACTGAGTCTGCACATTATTCATGCTGAAATGGAACAAACTTAAAAAAAAATTTAGGAGCACATCTCCTTTCTTTTTTATTACACTACTAAGACCTATAGGAAAGATTTTATAATTGCTTCATTGTTCTTTACCAGTTTTTCAGTTAGAGGAGGGCAATTAGTTAGAACACTAAGAATGTGAGAATCAATTGGCATTCAAGTCTTTATCTGTGACATGTAATAGGAAAAACAATTAGCAAGTTTATGACTTACATTTTTTGTTTACAGTTGGAGATCCAATGCTAAATAAGTTTAGTTTTGATTACAGGTAGGTACTTACACTTGAAAAATGTAAATACCTCTAATATGTTTCATTTTGTATAAGCCTGCTATATTTCAGGCTGAGAAACTACTGTCAAATATTTATAAGAATGGAAAGCAGAAACAACCGAAAAGTGCAAGTAATGAACTTACAGCTGGACTCAATGTTAAGCACAGAGGCATGTGCATTCTTTTTAGGACTAAATGATTAACTTGCTTTGTTTTAGAACAAACTGGGAGGATTATTTGTGAGTATAAACCCCCAGTTTACAATAGCCAGTAATTCCCTAAAGGAGAAGATGGAACTCACTGAGAAGTTCCGCTCACCTCCTTGGCTATGGTGGTGATGAAGGCGGGTGGTCTGGCAGTGGCAATGAGGGAGAGGGCATGCCTTGCAGATCGGGCGGAGTCAGCTGCAGGGCTCAGAGGCAGCCCCATTGTGATGCTAAGCAGGGATCAGAAAAAAAGGAAAAAAGAAAAGAAGCATTAGAAATATAGACTGAAAAGATTAGACACAGCTTATAATGTCAGTTCAAGGTCAATGGGAGCACTCAAACAGTTAGAATATAATGGACTTGCAACAATGAGCAGTGATTAGGAGTCAGGGTGTTCTGGCATCAAATACAAAATCGAATAATTAACCGTGAAGATTGAAAACAGTATGTGCATCTGTCCAAAGTGGTAAAAACGCCTTGTTAACAAATTATCAAGAACTAGTACTGAATACATATCACAAAGCTCAGAAAAAGTCACGAACAAATATCATATTTTCAAATTTTGTTCTAAAAAAAATTAAAGTTAATAATTTGTTTACAAGGTCATATTAAAAGCTTATATTTAAGGCTATATACATGAAAGGAAGCAAAATTCATTCCTATCTATAAAATTATCTAAAGAACTGAGAATGGCAAAATTAATTCTAGTTTATATTATTTTTAGTTTGAAATATCCTCAGTATTGCTAGTACTTTTAGCACCAATCTACTAATCAATAGTTTTCCTGATATTGAATATTACTGTAAAAAAAACTGATAATAATTCTCACTGTATAAAGAACAGATTGCATGACACTATCTAGGCTTTATGTAAGACTATACACACTGAAATAAACCTTTCCAAGCTGTGAGAATACAAGAGTGCAGAAAGAATGATGCCTACCATCTACACCTCAGACATATAAAAATGATAGTTTTATTTCTAAGCCTACTTTATATTATCTATAAACCACTGTGAAAATAAATGCAGCATGTATTTGCATAATAACTGTACACAAGTAATTTTGTTACTCAATATGGATTCAGTTATAGTTTCTGTAGTTACATAATCTTTATATTTAAGTAGGCATATTGAGGTATATTCAGATTGATCCTAATTCTTTTAAATATAGTTGTTTCACATGTCAACTGGATTATGTTGACTAAAAATTCTCAGAATGTTTAAAAGTTTTTCTGTAATTGATCTATAAATTGTTATTTTAACTTTTAGCTAAAAATAAAGATGCATGCCATAGGCATACTCAGTCACTGTTAAAGGAGGTAAGCTGATTCTGCTTATAACTTTTTGTGACTGTTACACTACTTAATTGTTTGGTAATATCGGTTTGTCTTTTTTCCAAATTGGGGGTATATCCAAAGCAGGCACTCAGAAGAGGCGCAGGGAATCTTCCCTTGATGCTTACCAATAAAAAGAAAAGTATGAGCAGAGGACACATATTGAACAATAAACAAATATAATGCAAGTCTCCTCGATGGAAAAGCTTCATGCCCTTGGGTCCCAGCAGTGGCTGGAAAGAGGTGTGCATAGGAGGGATAGCAGATTCTTTTTTGGATTCATTTTTGATATAGCAAATTTAGCAAAGGAAATCTTTACTATGTGATAGTGCTGAGCCTGGATTGCTTAATAATTATTGTAAAATTTAGATCACTTATCCATATTTTAGATCAAGTTGTTCAAATCTCAAGAGGTAATTTAGCTTTTTAGATACCCGGTGATGTTTGGTTTTTTTCATCAGTTTGAATGAATAGGAGTTGATGATATTGAAAGGCTGGAACAAACCAAAATGATAAGTTAATTGAATAATTTTGAACAAACCTAAATCAAATTTTATAAGATCAATAAAATCACAGACTGTTATAGCTGAGAAAGATTTCCCAGGCAACAACCCTGACAAGCAGTCAGCTAGGAAAATGGGATGCCTACCTTCTGGGAAGCTCACCATACATGTGCACAGTAACATGGAAGGAAAAAAAGCTAGACATAGAACCTAAGATCTAGAATTGAAACCAAGCTTTCCTGTGCTGTTTCATGGTCTCCTGCATCTGTCCCAAAGCATCCTTAGGAGGTGAATGAGACAAGCGTTTTGCAAATGAAAAATCAGATCTAGAGAAGTTAAATGAGAGCTAAGGCCACGGTGTTCTGTGGCCTTCCCTCATCTGTGCTTTTGCTTTATCATAGGTATGTATGAATAAGAAAAAACAGCATATATAGGGTTTGCTTATATCCATGGTTTCAGATATCCATGGGGGTTCTTGGAACATACCCTTGCAGTCAAAGCAGTATGTGTTATGTTTTTCAGCATAGCTAACCTTTGGAGAAAATTAATAAATTGGTAACAAAACTAAACTCAGCAGCTTTATATGAATGGCTAGACTGTATCCCCAAAGAGGTTTGCAGTGGTATGTTGTAATAATATCAGACTTACATGGTTCTACTCAATATTAATAGTGGTTTGAGCAAAGATATAGAATGTACTGATATCAACTGGTATGGAAATAAAGTAAGGAAAAGCAACCATATTTAGTAATAGAATTGAGATCCAAGAAATCTTCTAAAAGATCAAATGCAGCTAAATAAGAAGTCTTAGGTATGGGTACAAAAATAACCAACTTTACAGATGTGGGATAGGCAATACCTTACTAATCTGAACCCGTGAAATGCTGACAGCTGTAAGTGAAACATAAATATGAATGCTAGTGATAACACTGCCCAGAGCTAGGTTGGATTAAGATAAATATAACATGGCTCTAGGTACAGTGTGTTCTCCTGATGGATAGACTAGTTCCTAGGCACTTAGAAAACAGGGTTTGGCTTCTCAGGATAAAGTTACAGCATCCTCCTAAAGGTCAGCAAAGTCCAGTCTACCCCATGCTGTGTGCTGCTGGGGGCTCCTGCAGTTGGAAACTAGAGTCCCATTCACATAGTGGGATCCCAGAAAACTCACTGCCCAGCTCTAAGTCCTCATTCTGCATGGAGCAGAAATATTTAGCAGGAAGAAGAGAAAGAAAGGAAAAGAGGGGAAAATGGGGGTGGGGAGACTGAGCAAGTGAGCACCCTATATTATAGGTATAATACATGCTTCTTCTGAACAAAGATGTTTATCACAAACAGTAGTGAACTAGCAGCAGGCCACTGGCTTTAAACTAAAGGCTTTGCCATTAATCATCTTTCCATCTCAGCAGAGGACTTCATGGATTTGGGAGAAATGGCAAACTTCTTATGGTAAGGAAAGTAGTACAGTTTGGTCCTAGGTGTCAAAATCTGGAAAAGAAGTTGTAGAGTAATGTAGAAATGAAGCAAAGGTATGTAAACACATTGCCCACTGAGTTCAGTGGAAGCTGGAAAATCCAACGATTTTGAATCCAAAATTCAACAAAATCTGAAAAACATAACACAAGAGGCATCAATGTGTGCACGTGAGGGGCCCCCTTCCTCATCATCTGGCAGTCACCACACAGGTCTAGAAAATGCTGGAGGGCAACAACAGTGCAAAAGGGGGAGGCCTGTGAGTGTGAGAGCTGCGAGGCTGCTGATGCACACTGAGCCCAGCATCAGAGCCATCTTCCACCCACATCAACTGTATTTCACGGCTACCCTTCTTAGAAATCTCCAGTGGTTCCCTACTACTTCTCAGAAAAATTCTAACTCCTTGCCTTGAGATTTGAAACATCTCAAACTCCAAGGCCCTTTATAATCTAGTTTCATCAATTTTCAGCTCAATCTTTTCAACACAAATGTTCCTGATGCTAGACTAATTCCAAGGCTGATCCCTAAAACTCTGTTCTTTTAGTCATTCTGGGGATTTGGTAATGCAGTTTCTCTCCTTTTTGCATTGGCACTCTCTTCCCTCTCCTACACTTACTTCCTATCTTCCCTTCATGGCATTCCGTAATTGCTGTAGCATTCAATTATTTTCTATTGAAATAAAGACAACCAAGAACAAAATCCATTCATTCCAGGTCTTCAGTACTGAAGCCTATTCTGTCAAGATTTATGAATTAGTTTTGCATTATGAACTCTGCAGTGCTTAGCAATCATGCCTTCTAGGTCTATATATCCCCCCCCCCAACGTACCTAGGACAGCCCTAAGACACAGTGGTACCCTAGGAGTTATGCACTAAATGAAGTCAGCTGGCAAATTTAGTAGGAGGAGAAAAATTCACTTAAGCCAGTTATTGGGCTGAATTGACCCAGCAATGAAGTCAAAGTAATTGATCTGGTAGTCCCAACAGACAAAGTCTAATTCTACATGTAGTAATCTTTAAAGTCGACAGTGTGTGATTATGTGTGTGATATATTTTAATGTGGGATTCTACCTGAGTGATAAAAGATCATACTATAAGAGGGCTGAAAGGAAAGGTCTGCCTGATTCTGGAATCTGTATGTAAATATGGAACTCACTCTTTTCTTCTGATCTAGCTTATGTACTGTTATGCAGATCATTGGTTTTACCATCTTATAGGATGAGCCTGTGGTTTGTCTTTATTCTAAAAAATCAGATATGACAGGCTCTATATTTTACTCAGCATTTCAGCATACACATCCAATATGAAATACCAAGATGACAGATACTATAAATAAAAGACATGAATAGAAAAACAGTCCACTTAGGTTGAGCTCACTCTTCATATGACTGCTCACCAATCCTGTTCTAAGGCTAGCTCCATTGCAATAAAAGCACTTAAGAAGTTACGTGCAAGAACACTCTTGTTAAATGTCACCACCTAAAATTATCTGTCAAATGAAAGAACACTCTAAGAAAATTTTCAGGGAAAAAACTATAGTCTGTAAATCTTAGTCAACAGTAAAAGGGCACTGAAAATAGACCCATCAAAAACAAAGAAAACTAATATTATTTTGAAAATACATATTAGCCACTGTCCCATCACTGGGACCAACTACCCAACACCTACAACTTACAGGAGGGGAGGTTTATTTTGGATCATGATTTTAGTACGTGGCTGGCTGCCCCGAGGGATAAATGGCATGGTGGAAGAGCATGGTAGATACTCAACCCATGGAGAAGGCTGTTCCAATCATGACGGACAGGAAGCACAGGAATAAGGGAGGAACCAGAAGCAAGAATATACCCTTACAGGTCACGTTCCCAGTGACCCACTTCCAACTAGGCTCCCCCTCCTAATAGCAAGTCAGCTCCAGTGCCCCATAA